ATACTCACTCATTGCTTTTATCTGTGTCTGTTCCTAACTCTTATTGGGAAGAGGCAATTCTCACTACTATTTATCTCTGTAATCGGATTTCCTCTATTATTACTTCAGGTGTTTCTCCTTTTTGAACGATTAAATGGTAAATGTCATAACTACTTCCCATTGCGTATATTTGGTTATACTTTGTTCTTCTTTCCAAAGTTGAACAAAATCAGTTAATTGCTTGTTTTGCTATGCACTTTTCTTGGATTTGGTTAGGGACAAAGGGGTATTATTGTTATAATCCTGTTTCCAAAAGATTGTATGTATCTAGACATGTGGTCTTTCTTGAGCATATTCTTTTATTTTCCATTCCCTTTGCTTTTGACAACTTTAATAAATGTGATTTTATTGATATTGACCCTTTTCTTGATGACATTTCTTTGTGAGATACTCACTTTTGACATTCACTTGTCTCAATCTCTTTCTCCTCTTTGTCCATGGTGCCTCGTATTGTTCATACTTACTCTTGCAAGAATAAGATTGACCCATTTGCTGGCACACCTCCTTCACATCTTTTGGTTGTCTTTGTCAGTGTCTAATGATGTTGACCCTCCATTTTTTTTGTTATTCTAAGCGTATTCGTAGGTGTCCTGACCATCTTAGTTTTCTAATACTTGTCATTCCTCTGATTTTTGTTCATTTTTATCTTCCATTAGGGGTAACCCGTGCCTAAAGGCATGGTGCAATGTGAATGGTTTTGAAATGGATGTTAATGGTCGTTGGATGAGTTTATTTGAAACCGTCGGATGCGCTTATTGAAGCCTGCCCTGTTTTATATTATAGATACACTTTCTGTTTGAACCTACCTCTTGTAAGGAGGCTTTTCTTGATCCTACTAGGTCATAGACTATGAATGATTCTGTAATATATAAAACTAAGACATGGAATTTTGTGTCTTTACCTATTAGTAAGCATGTTACTGGTTGTCGATGTGAAGGCAAAATTAAGGCTGACGGTTCAATGGAAAGATACAAGGCCCGATTGGTTTCTAAGAGTTTTGTTGAGTAATATGACATCGATTATGAGGAAATTTTTGCTTCTGTTGCATGGGCAGATAAGGAAATACTTCTGTTGCATGGGCAGAATGGCTTCTATATGGTCAGATAAGCAAAGATGGAGTTATGTTACCATAGAGGCTGATTCCCAAACAGTGGTAAATGCAGTAATGCTTGAACACATCAAACCACAGTGGACAATTTGACCAATTATCAAAGATCTCAAGTAGCTCCTCAGAATGCACCTAGATTGGAGTATGGTTCATACTTATAGAGATGCAAATTCAGCAGCACATGTACTTGAAAGATGGGGGTTGAGACTACAGCACAAATGCCAGCTACCTAGTGATCATCTGCCAATCTTAGAGAAGGAAATAGTAGTAAAGGAATCCAAGATATACTTGGATTCCTGTAGTTAGCTTATGTAAATACTTTTACTTTCTCACCTGACACTGTCTTCTTTTCAAGCAGGAAAAAAGAAGAAGATGATCATTGTTTGTACTTTGATTTCTATAACAACTGTCTTCTTTTCAAGCAGGAAAAAAAAAGAAGATGATCATTGTTTGTACTTTGATTGCTATAACAACCGTTTATAGGTGGAAATTGTCTCAGGTGGGGATGTCAAGAACACCTTTTTAAATGGTGATTTTGCATAGGGGTGTCCATGGGCTGGGTTACCCACGGGTCCTGTTATCCGGCCCGAAAAAATAGGCCCGATAATTGGCCCGTTCAAGCCCGAGCCCAATATCCTTTAAAAGAGGGCTTGGATTTGTCCCTAAACCCATTACTCGGCCCGAAGCCTTGCCCAAAAGCCCGCCCGCAAGCCCAGCTCAGCCCAGCCTACCCTACCTTTCCTTTAAAAAAAAGTTATACTTTTAAACCATTAAATTGGAAACTTTGAAATAAGTCTTTCAATATCGAAATTTGAAGTTTTAAAAATTTAGATATTATAAATAATGTATTATTTTTCTTTTCCATGTATTAAGCATATAAGTTTTAAATAATAGAGTAATACAAATGATAGATAAGTTAGTAGGTGTCAACCTAGTTGAGATTATTCATTCTATTAGATGCATAGTTGTTAGTATCGTACAATACACGATACGGAGGTTAAACGATACGGATCGTAGTTATGTATCATTTTTTCATCGTATCGTCCGATACACGATACATATCGGTACGATACGACCGATACGCGCAAAACTTGGTTTTTTTTTTTTTTTTTTTTTTTCTGAAACGTCGTTTTGTTTAAATAAAACACTAATTTTTTTATTCCCGCCATTGATGAAACGACGTCGTTTTGTCTAAATAAGACACTAATTTTTTTTTTTTGTATAAAAATTTATGAATCTTGATTAATTTTATGGATTGAGTTCAAAATGGATGTTATAAATTTGGATTAAAAGTTTCTTTAGTGTTTGAAGTTTGAATTAGTGAACTATGGTTGTAAACTTTGCATTATAATATTAGTGAACTATGTTGATAACTTGAATAGGTGGTGGAGTATTAATGAAATGCTATATTCTTATGAGTGTATGATTTTTTTTCAAAGATATATATATATTTTTATTATTTATTTAAAATTGCATTATATCTTACGATACACGATACGATAAACTATTTTTAAAAAACGATACGGCTTCCGATACACGATTTAATAACTATGATTAGATGTAGTTCATTATTTTATTTTTATTCATTTTGACTTTACTTTTGATTCAAAAATATAATTTACACAAATATTAAGTTACAAAAATATTCATTATTTTAAATAAAGATGTATATAAAAAAGTCCGCAAACAAGCCCGCCCAACAAGTCCGCCCAATAAGCTTACAGGTTGGGCTGCGGGTAGCCTACCCCTAGCCGAAACCCGGCCCGGCCCGAAAAAACTTTCGCGGGCCTAACTTGGCTTGGCCCATGGACACCCCTAATTTTGCAGAAGAAGTTTTTATAATTCCTCCTTGTCTCTCATGCTCTAGGTGAGCCATTCAAACTGAGAAAAGCTTTGTTTGGTCTCAAGTAAACTCCTCAAGCTTGGTTTGAGAAGTTCTCTATTGGGATATTTGACTTTGGTTTTTGTTTAAGTAATCATGATTTAGTTCTTTTTCCTCATTCTACTTTCGTTGGCCAGATTATTCTTCTCTTATATGTTGATAATATGATTATTGTTGGGATGATTATGAGGGTATTTCAGTCTAGAAGGCATAGTTACAACGTCAGTTTGATGTAAAGAATCTTGGTCCTTTCCTATATTTTTGGCATTGAAGTGGCTTCGTCTCTTATGGGTTATCTTTTTTTTTGGACTCAAAGTATTCAGTTGATGTTATCAATAGGGATCTCTTTGATAGATTCTCGGACTATTGACACTCTAGTCGAGCTTAATGTGCATTTACATTTTTACTGATGGCATCCCTTCTGCTGATCCTACTTTGTTTCGGGTTATTGTTGGTAGTGTGGTATATCTTACTATTACACTACTTGATATTGCTTATGCCATCCATGTTGTGAGTCAATTTATTTCTTCTCCGGATATAGTTCACTATTCTGCAGATCTTCACATTTTGTGTTATCTTTGGGGCAATTTTCATTCGAGTTTGTTATTTTCTTCAACATCTTCTTTGGAGCTTTACTCTTTTTTTGATGCCGATTGGGCAGGTGATTCCATGGATTCTAGGTGATAGTCTTATTTCTTGGAAAAGCACGAAGCAAATTTTTGTTGCTTGTTTACCGCTGAGGCTAAATATCGGGCTATGACTACAACTACGTTAGAAATAGTTTGGTTGAATGGTTGTTTGCCGATCTAGGTGTTTTATTTTCTGCTCCCACGCTTAGGTATTGTGATGAAAAGAGTGATATTCATATTGCACACAATTTTGTTTTCCACAAGTGGACCAAGTATATCAAGATTGATTGCCATTTTTTGGCGCCACCTTTGTCAACTTGGGACGATTTTCTTGTTTTTTTGTTTCTTCTACTATGCAATTGATTGACTTTTTCAAGATGTTTCATACCATTATGCATTTTTGTTTTGTTCTTGACAACCTTTCGATGCTTCTTACCGTCACATCATGAGCTTAAAGGCCTTGTTAAGAATGTATATTATTTTTGTCTTTTTAATTAGTGGTAGTTTAAGGGGCAGAGCTAGAAAAATACCATAGTGGGGACAAATTCTAATAATAATAAAATGAAAACTTAAGCTAACAACAAATACAAAAACTTAGGATTGTTCGGTAACTCATTTTTGTGTTTTTTGACAATATTTTTGCTTTTTAAAAATGTAATTTTGAAGTGCAATTTATTTTTTATTTTTTTCTTTGAACAACTTGCTCTATCCTTACAAGCTTAATCACTAGTATAGTAGTATAAATAGGCATATATAAGTGCAATATTTGTATACTAATATTCTTTGTTACGAAATTTCTATTTCACTTACAGAGACTATTACCAAGTGATAGCTTAAATACAAATTGGTTGTTCTTCAATTCAATTTATTTAAAGTTATTTGAAACTAGTTTTCAGATTGGAAAAAATTGCATGAGAATCTGATCAATATAGGCATTTTTTCTAGAGGGCAAGTTTGAAAATAATTAGCATATATATAAAACAAAGTGCAACAAAGAAGTGAGTGGGAACAGTTGCCCCATTGAGAGTCGTGTAGCTCCGCTCCTTGGTATTTTAGTAATTTTCTTGGTGTAGGGTTTTGTATTTCCTCTTGTACTAAACTTGAACATATATATTTACTTACCCAAAAAAAAACTTTTAGTAACATATGGAATATGGAAAATGCTTAAGGTTTTATTCTCTCTCTCTCTTCTTCTACCTTTTCTTTGTATGGTGATCCAAATGTTCGTTATTAGTTCTCGAAATCTTTCCTAAAACTGCAAAAATGCCGACTTGAGGGTCCAAACGATGGAATTTGGCACGAATTGAAGGAGCTTACTGTGCAACGATGCGTTTTGATGGTTGGCCTGATCCAGATCAAACGGCATTGGTTCCACTTAAGTGTGAGTGCGAACCATTTTTGCCTCTAGTATTACTTTGTAGCCTTCCATTGCGTCTTGAATACACAATGGTCTTCTCGCTCCTAGTAATTTGCCGCTACCTGTTCTTCATTAATATCTAAGTTTAGGTATTGCGTTGATCTGAAATTAGAACACTTTGATTCTGTGAGTCTTGATTGCAAGTGAAAAATAATTTTCAGGAGGGGAAAAAAGATACCCATTGCTGAATTGAACTGCCAGGAGAGTGAAGAAATGTGCTTGCTCTTGCTTAAAAGTTTTGGGTTTTGTGGGAACTTTGTTCAAGGTAACTAAATTTTAAATGGGTTCCGGATTTTGCATGCACTAGCACCTATTCCAGTTTTGTATCTTGATGAACACTTTTTATGCCTTGTTTTTGTGATATTAGAAGGTACATAACTATATCATGTTGCATGGTGAAAAAGGGAAAGGGGTGGGGAGCGGAAGCCTTTTTGTTTATCGGGAGAAGCTCATTTGACTTTGAATTGACTTTTGCTTTATTTTCCACTAATTTAATGTTTGAATGTTCACAACTTAATAGTTGAGTTGCAGTAAATGTTACCCTCTAGTGAGTATTTACACAGCCTTACCAGTGGCTTATAATGACGAATCTTTTTGCAGACCATGTAGCTCTGATCAGACCCCACCCAATCGTAGGCAATCTGATTTTTTGGATTCATTCCAATCATTGAAATTAAAATCTTCTCCCCAGCATAAGGTCTCCCCAGCCATGAGCAGTCTACGAGGTTATTATGGTCTAAAATCAAAATATCAGAAAGCTACATACGAAGGCTTTGAAATGGCTGTTTATCAGAAAGGAGGTTCTCATTATTTAGAGGATGGACCATTTGCCAAACCGTCATGTTCTTCTAACCTGCCTCTGAGTCATCATAGAAAATCTAAATGCTTAGGTAATGGTTTCATGTCTGAGAATGGTGATGTGGCTGATGATGTGTCAGTTTCTGTTTCGGAAACCAGAGAAGTTGACTCTGAAAAATGGATTGAGAAGTTAGTAAGAAGGCGTCAGAAATCTGAAGCTGACTTTGGTTCCCGCACCCCAGAAATGCTGATAGAGGAAGAAAATTGCAGTAGTGGTGGTGGATTTTCTGCAATTACAGGTAAAGGATTAGCTCTGAGACCCAAGGCAGCAAGCCGAACTATCTTGGGTTCTGAAGCTGAAGCAGGTTGGCAGAATGCTATTCCTATAGGTTTAGGGGGTTCATTTGTGGCTGACAGTTTTAGTGGAGTAAGGAAGTCATCAAGTACATCGAGTTTGCAGGATTCTGACAGTAGCACATGTTCATCCATCTGGCCAACATCAAAGTGGAGTTTGAAGCCAGGTCTGCAGGCCCTTTCGACTGCAGCCATTACAAGACCAATCTTTGATGGCTTGCCAAAACCAGTAACTGGGCGAAGAAGCAAAGCTGCACTTGATTAGTGAAGTTCGTTTCACTATCCAGGTTATCAATTTTGTTTCATATTTGTGAGGCTATCATTTTTTATGGGGCGATACAAAGTAAAATTGGACAGAAAAGAGGAAAATAAAATGGATATTGATCTTCGGATGCTAGACAATTTTAATTTTGGCTGAATTACATTAATTTGGTTACGGGAGCTACAGTTCAAGCTATGAGTGGAAGTTGAAAGCAGCCGCAGAACTTACTTCTTGACTGCTTCTTGTTTTCTGACTATAGATTTTTGCTACAGCTAGTGGACCTTGAACCTTACAGAGAATGCATATTACATATTTAGGTCTGTTGATTTAAGAAAGGGCGAAGGATATTGTCTATAAATATAGTTTTTTTTTTTCATTTGTGTTTTAACTTTATATTAGTGTTATTTTGACCAGTTACTGTTGTTCCTCCATGTTCATGAGGCAGGCAATTATACCCACCCTTACTGACAATTTGAGATTGTGCGATGACCAAGAGTATAGAATGGAACTCGTCCTAGTCATGGCCTGTTGACCTTTTCAGATACCCACCCATACTTTCTGAACTGGCAGGAAGTTAGAGAGGTCGGATATGCATCTTTTGTCCAGATTTTCAGCCATCTTGTCCCACTGCCTAACCAGGTATTGTACTTGTACGTTTTATCCATCGTTGGATTAATACTCGACATTCTTGCTTGTGCTGGGGATTAAGAGAAAAACCCTTGTGCTTTATCAGTATTTCTAAAGTCAGTGTACAGTGTCACAGTTTACAAGTTAAGCCATTAGCGGCTTTGGAAAGAGTTAAAAAAGTCAAGATTTTGTTCCTATTTCAAAGCGAAATTTCATTATCTATCTCATTGCGTGGTTCAAGATTTGTTCAGCAGGACTAGTGTTTAATGAATTGCATAGCCCTCCACCTCCCCCTCCCCCTTCCCCTTCCCCTTCCCCTTCCCCTTCCCCTTAAAAAAAAATAAAAAAAATGAATTGCATAGGAATTTTAATACATTAGGGATATGTTTGGTGAGGATTAAATAAAAGATGGTATTGGATAATTGGTTCTTATTCAATCCATACAAATGATGTTAACATGAATATTATTTGATCCTATCATTTGTGTAATAAGTTTGGATCAATGTTAGGTTAAGATAAATGTCTTGATTGGGTAATAATGTATGGTATTAAATTAAAAATAATAAAATAAATAGAGGCAAGAGTTTGTATAATATATAACTTTTACATGAAGGTTTGGATCTAGGTTTGTAAGGATAATAAAACTATTGTGTTTTTATTTCTAAATTTATTAAAAATAATATCACCTATCACATGGTATTCATTAATACCTAATATTATTGGGTATTAAATGACAATAGTAAATTGGGTCGAGATTAGTGATAAATTTATATCGAGTTACTAACCCAATTCAAATTCATTATTACGTCATTACCGGATTAAATTAATCTAATCCAATCTATTAATACCTAAACCAAATATGTACTAAATCCTTTAGTGTTCATTTACAAAAAAGAAAAGAAAAAGAGAGAAATTCTTGTGTATGATCACTGATAGGGATGGGATTGGACAATTGGTCCTCATCTAATTCATACAAACGATGTTAACATGAATGCTATTTGATCATATCTTTTGTGTAACTAGTTTGGATCAATGTTAGGATACGATATATGTTTGAATTAGGCAATAATGTATGCTATTGATTTAAAAATAAAAAAATAAATATTGAGGGTATGAGTTTGCATAATATATAACTTTTATATAAAAATTCATATTAATTTAAAAATAATAAAACAAATATTGAGGACAAGACTTTGCATATAATAGATAACTTTTATATAAAGGTTTGGATCTAGGTTTTGCAAGGATAATAAAGTCATTGTGTTTTTAATTCTAATTTTTTTCAAAATAATATCACCTATCACATGGTATTCATTAATACTTATTATTAAGTGTTAAATGACAATAGTGAACTGGTCAGGATTAGAAAGAAATTAATACCAAGTCATTATAACCCAATTCAAATTCGGTATTACATCATCACTTAATTAAATTAATCTAATCCAATTTCTGTATACCTAAACTAAATATGTCCTAGATCATTTAGTGTTCATTTATTTAAAAAAATAAAAAAGAAGAAAAGAGAAATTCTCGTGTATGAACACTGATAGGGATCCCAAATAAGATCTCAAGTGAATAGAATTTTTTAGATTAGTGGGTTCGTTAGTATTTTTTGATGAGACCAATCATTCAAAGATTATTATTTTATTTGGAATTCAAAATTTAAAATTCATTTGGGATACCAAGTATTACTGTTGTAGAACGTGAGCACATAAGGCCAGAATCAGTTTTTTTGGGCGGGTTGAGAGGTCAACCCTAATCCAACTCTAAGTATATAATCTTCAATCTTAATCCTAACCCTACCTCAATCTGAGATACTCAACCTGAATATTGTCTGAGTTTAATTCGGGTGGGCTCGGATTGAATTAGGGTTATTTAATTTGGACTGATTTTGGATTAAAAATTAGGTTGGACTTGAGTTACTTAATTCGGATTGATTTTTTGAAGTGTAGATTTGATTTTTTAAAGTGTAAATCTAATGATCTGAGATGAAGGGTGAGGTGCAGATGAAGGGCGAGGCGCAGATGAAGAAAAAGGGAGTGAGAAAGGGAGGAGTGATGAGTAAGAGGGATCTGGGAGCGATGAAGACGCAGAGATGAAGATTTGAAGTGAAGTAAAAGTCTGAACTCTGAAGAGTGAAGATAAATACTAACTCTAATTAAATATATTTATATATTTATGTATATTCAGGTTCAACCCGATTTTAATATTCGGTTGAACCCGACAACCTGAGGCCTCAACCCGAGACTTGCACAAATTCAATTTGGGTTAGAGGTTTTTTGCCTAGACCCAACCCAAATATTAAAAATTATAATCTAAGCCTTGTTTTTTTCGGATTGAGCTTGGGTTGAATTCAGGTTGGCCTGTTCAAGTTGCACCCCTAGCTTCTATCAAGTCTAAGGGCTTACCAATTATTATCGTGATTTGGTGATTTTAGTCAAACTCATACCGCAAAAAATGGGCCTTCTTGACAGCTCATTGCAAATTGTGGTGGTTTTTCATGGTCTTTTCTCCACTAAGTTGGTTTTGATGATGTTAGATCACATTTTTCTAATTGGTTAATTTTGTGGAGCACATTATAAATCTCAATCTTTTTCATAGTCATGATGCTATCAAGTTGAAGATCTGAAAACGTCATTAAAGTGAGAATGTCAAACGTTAAAACAACATCATTCAACCTTCATATTCACTTTTATGTTTAGGACAAAGGTAATGACTAAGACACCAAAGATGAAGATTTAGTTATTTTGTTAACTTAAGTTGATTAGAATGAAAATGAAAATGAAAATGAAAATGAAAGCAATCCGTGTATGACTCCTAGGTGATTTCAAAAGAAAATATTTTTTAAATAATTTTATATTTTGAAAACACAAATTAAGTTATTATTGGATTCCACTTGAGCAACACCCTTTAGTGCTCAAGTGGACTATTTTTTGCTTGATTTTGTACTTTAAAAATCAATAGGGACCGAGCTATGCTCACTACCCTTGGCTAGATTACTCTCCTGATGATTTAGGGAATTAGATGGAGAAAGACCACAGGAGAACAACACAGAGTTCGCTCAAGTGGTCCTTCATGGTGGCTCGAGCAGTGCTCAGGGTCGCTCGAGTGGTGTTACTTTTGGATAGGATGGAAACATGATTTCATTCCAGTCTTAACCACCCTATGACCGTTGATTCGTCATGTAATTTATCAATTATTTACTTGATAGTTATGACGAATTACATTTATTTTGAGTTAATTATTGTTTTTCATATTAGTTTTATGCTTTGATGGTATTTTTGTGTTTGATTGGTTTATCAGGTAAAATAGGGAGATTGAGGTGATTTATGATGCTTGATAAATTGATTGGATGAATTGAAGATTGCATGAAAATCAAAGGGATTAAAGTATAATTTCAAAGAGTCAAACAGTTGACTATAGTAGACCCTAGCTGCATACATAGGCGCGTTCGGACGCAATCACTCTGTACAGATGAGAGTGCTTCAAGGCCAATTCTAGAGATTTCAAGATATTTGGACGAGGTTGTGCATGTGGACACTCTTTTGATGATACAGTGTGCCTTCATTAGGACGCGTGTGATTGTTCAGACTTAGCTATGTTGACCAAGTCAAAGATCAGGATTCAAAGATTGTGTCCGGACGCAGCTCCTCTATCCAGACGCACCTACGAGGTTTGGTCTAATAAATTTTGACTGTTAGGACGCGATTTGGGCGTCAGGACATGCCTAAACAATCCTGATGCATGAGATTTGACTTTAGAAGACTCCTTTTTGAAAAGGGATTGTTCCCAAATCAACCCTAGACCTTTTAGTATATATAGGACCTTTCTTATGTTGTGGTAGATCTCTCTTCCCAGACTCTCTTAGAACCTTTTTATTATTTTGTGAAGATCTTGCTTATGGCTAGTGAGTAATCATCTTCCTATTCTCTAGTTAGGGTATGATTTTCATGAATATATCTTGAATATTTTATGAATGCAATTATAATTTTCTTGTTCTTGAATGATATATATTTTCAAATATTCTTTGATTGAATGAAAGATTTTATTAAAGTAATGTACCATAACTTATTTGAATACCAATGAGTCTTTAATCCAACGATACTCCTTACCTTGTGAAGACTTTGCCTTCTTGAGGTCAAGGGTTCAACTCTCTCTACCCTTCCCAAAAAAAAAAAAAAAAAAAATTAAAAAAAACCTTATTTGATTAATCATTAATAAGATTAAGTTTTTGGTATGATTAATACTTATAATTCCCTTCGAGTTTACAATCATAGTTCTTAAATTCTTATTTTCTTTTCAATCCACCTTTGGTTTCCAAGCTATATTTTTTGGTTAATTACACTGATGTTGGAAGTTAACTGAGATAAACTTATTATAATTGCATAAGTATGATATTTGATTTACATGAATGATACCTAATCCCGAATCTTGAGAATAGCTTTCTTTCATAACAATTTCCTTTAAAAGTGTTCAAATTACTAACACTCAAATTCTCTTTAATTGTTCTTTCTTTTTACCTTTCTAATTCCAAACTAATTTCCCTAAGGATCGACCTCGGTCTTACCGAGTATTACTACTTTTTGACCACTTGCACTTGGGTGCACTTTTTGAGATCAAGCACGCTTTTGACACCATTACCGGGGAACTTGAAAGAATGCGGAAGCCAATAAGAAGATTCTGCCATTGCAATGAGCTATTTGAAGAACTCAACTTTTTCGGGTAATCTCATTCCATCCTTTGAATTTTTGTTAATTTTTTTATGTTTTGTTTAAGTTTTATAGATTTTGTTAATCTTTGCCATTTTATTGCTAATTGTTTTAAATTACAATCTTCATCCAGTTTATAATTGTATGCCTGTTGGAGAAAACTCAATTTCTGATATTGAGTCACCATTTAAAGAATCTGTAGGATCCATAGGTTCATCTTCATCTTTAGAGTTTGATTAGTTAGTCCTTGTCCCCACCTTTGATCTAAGTCGAACAGACAGTGACATGGGAAACAACGTCAATAACCCAAATCGAAATAAACCTAAATGTGTTCAAGAAGTCAACTAATAGGTCCGCATTCTTAGGGATTATCTACACCCCACAAGGAGCAGTATCACGTCATGTTTTGTTTTTCCTGCCAATGCCTAGCGGTTCACGATGAAACCTGGTACAATCCAACTTTTGCCGCAATTTCCATGGCCTCGATT